GCAGAGCCCCGGGAAGCCACTCCACACGGAGCACTCATGAGGCAGAGAGCTGGGAGAGACAGGACTAGAACAGAAGGTGAGAACTCCCAGCAGCCCGAGACCGAGGATTCTGATATCTTTCCCCAACTTGCGACTCACTTGTAGGAAACACAGCAAGCCAGAAACGCCTCACATTAGCTGGTTCGATTTGGATCTAAATTTCTGGACACTGCCGGTTCAGAAACCTTTCACGGCGGCCCAGTTGTTTACCACGTCAGGGTTGTGGTTGCAGGGTCCTGACCCAGAGTTTAAGAAGCAAGGCCTTAGATGTTCTCTTTAAGCAAGTGTTGACTTGTCCACTGGGTAAATCCACGTGCTTACAAGGACTCCACTCGCCACTGTAGAAACTCCATGATGGGTCTGCAGCTCAGAAAAAATCTTACCGAAACCCCATCTAGGGTTCTTATCCCTGGGAAGCGCAAGTTTTGATGACTTTCCATTCCAAACCACCCACCTCAAACGTTTCCTCTGAGAAAATATCCTACCACACCATGAGAGCCAGTAAGGATATCCATCGACATGAGAGGCATGAAACTAGAATGTGGGAAGCGTGCTAAACCTTTCTCAAACTCCAGCTTTGTGCACACACAAGACAATAAGGCGTTACCGAAGTTAGCACCAACAGAGAGAGCCAGACCAGCAGTGCCAAAATTCAGTGGTTTAAAAATAACCCACAGTCTTGGGCCAGAGACGAAGAACAGGAGGTAAGGCCTCGCATGCACAGCTGCAGCTGTGACCTGAAGCCACGCTGTTTACAACTGCCACAACAACCGTGGGAAGTGTGCAAATACGGTCAGGATCTGCATGGGAGCCCGACTAGGGAATCAAGCCTAGCCCTCCCTCTTCTCGGAAATAACATGCATCTTCTGCCCCTTTTTTACGGCCCGTTTCTCCATCTCTGTAACCTAGAAACTTGTGTCACAACAGCACTATTCTCTTAAGAGTATGCCAGCACTCCTGTGAGTGTATTCTCCATAAAACTGCTTGCTCTATGCCTTAAGTGCCCTCTATACTCTAATAAACCTTTTCCTAGGCTTTATTTCTCTGACATTCTTGAATTCTTTCCTGTAGAGGTCAAATAAAGCTGATCTCTGTGTCTGGGTCTAGTGATTTTGGGTCTTCCCTACTCAAGTTTTGCTCTGCATGCTACACACAGAAATTGTCACTTTTTTTTTTTTGCAGGGTGTGGGGGGCCACACTCGGCTGTGTTCAGAGATTTCTCCTGGCTCCATGCTCAGGGGTCACTCCTGGTGGGGTTCTCAGGAAACACAGGCAGTGACAGGGACTGAACCCAGTTGGCTGTGAAAAAAACAAGCACCCTGCCTGCTGTACTATCTCTCTGCAACATAATCATCTTCATCACTTATTGATCTCTTTTTTTTTTTCACATGTAATGATTAGCTTCTGGGTCAGAGACAGAGGAAAGGTCTTTAAGATAGTAACAACTAGAGTAAGGAAGACGGCACGGAGTCCTGGGTTGGGCCCTGGCATCACATGGCCCTCCACACCAAACGAGAAAGGAGCCTCCAGTACAACTGGGTCTGGGCTGAAAACAAACAGAAACAGCAGCAATGACAGCACCAACCTCACTTTTCTAAACTCATATGATAAATGACGGATGTGCAGAGAATCATTCATTTTTGTACCCTCCCAGCTTAAGTTTCAGTAAAGAAGAACATTAAAATGCAAACAAATGGCCAACCATTTCTAAAGTCCTTTTTCCACTAGCAAATTGAGAAGAAGATGCTTAGTCCTCATTAATATACTCCAAACGGGGGGCAGGAGAGTCTCAAAAGCGTCCCTGACTGTCTCATCCTACCAGCTGTTTGCTGGGAGGTCTTTAAATCTCAAATGTTCTCATGAATAATTATTCCTGGGAAATGAGCTTTCAAAAATAAAACTTTCTATATTTACAAATATCTAGTTTTAAGTCAAGAGCTGCCTTGAAACAAATGTGAAAAGTGCTATTTTAGAAGACTAATACACAACAGATTAAATCGTTTACAAAATATCATTTTCTTGATGCCCGGAAAACAGCTCAAGTGTCAAGAGCACATGCTTAGCATGTTCAAGGCCCAACTGGGCATGGCCCCTCCCCAGACACACACACACACATACACCCAACCCAACACAGAGGGGCCAGCCACTGAACCAGCCGCTCAGAAGGAGGAGGCCTCCATGTTTACAAATGTAATTTGGGGCCAGAGAGAGTTTCCAGGTTCAGGGGTTCGGACAGCCTGGGTTCGATCTCTGAACGTGTATATGATCCCACAAGCACCACCAGGGTTAGTCCTGAGCATAGAACAGGAGTAAGTTCTGGCCACTGTTACACAATAAACTGGCAAACTTGGGATTTTCAGATTGCTGTTTTGCAAAACAGATTTGTAAGAATCAAAGGAAAAGACATAACAAGATAATAATAATAAAATAATTGAAGCAGAAGATTTCGGTAACAAAAAAGAAAGCTCAAAAAGGTGAAGTTTGAAGGACTGGGTTGCGAGTCAGGTATAGCAGTATAGCAAAAGTTACACATGGAGGCCAACTCAAGGCCAACAAGTCGTAAGAAAAATCACTTTTCTCCTCTAGTTTCCTCATCTCTAAAATAGAAATAAGACCAGTCCCTGTTGTAATGAGTATCCAGTGTTTCATGTAAAATTTAACACGGTTCCTGCACCTATTCTGAGGAAAAGTCCAATAAAAATAAATATAGTTTCAGATTTTCTGCACAGAAACTCTACTGGTTTTTTTTTCTAACTGCATTTTTACTCCACACCAAGGGAACTAGAATCTGATGAGCAAATATACATAATGTTCAAGGTTCTACTTGTGACGACTGAAAAGCTGGCAATGTTACGTTCCCTCAAATTTTGTTTTCCCTTGCACTAGTCTAAAATTAAAAGCCACATTTAAATTTAACAAAGATGTCACTAGTGAACAGGAGACAGGACAGAATCTAAACAATTCAAACCACAGAAGTGTAAAAGAATTCAATTGTGGTTCCCCAACAACTCTTAATCTACTATTCTCATTAAAGTGAAGCAAAGTCTCATTGTGACATATAGAATACTATTTTATTTTTCATTGAAATCTATCTTACATGTTTAAAAATACACAAGGGTTCAAAATAACTTCAATAAAATGGTAACATTTCTATTAAAGGACCTCTAAAGTCAAACCCCCAGTGTGCAAACATGGTGGGCTCCCAATGTGAAGTCATAGGCACATTTCATTAAATGCATTTCATGAAACAAATCAAAAATGCTGAGAAGGAAAATACTCAGTAATATGATATAAACTTTAAAATACCTGTCAGGCAAGAAATTTATGGTAAAAAAAAAAGTAAGATTCAGATGTTTTACTGTTTATACCTGCTTCAATCTTCAAAATGCCATTTTGCTACATTTCAACCTCTGAAAATTTAAACAACTTCATGTAGCACACTAAAAAATAAGTTAATTTGATCTCTGAAGCTGAAAACATCATTACAAAAGAAAATACTGACAGCCGTTACCTGTGTTCGATTAGTATATTATTTTCTCAGCAGCACTAAGAATGCAGCTTGTTCTAATATAAATACCTAAATAACAACTACACAAAAGTATTTTTTTCTTAAAAGAAGTTTCTGTATACTTTTACCAATGTTGGTAATTTAAGCAACACTGATCTATATATAATACTAAGAAAACATTAGGCACAGATACATACTTTACATTTTTGTTGTAAAAAATACAGTATATGCAAATGCATATCACACAAATGATTAGTGGGCATTAACAGAAAGCTTTGTAGACCTACCACAAAAAGGGTAATAATATTTCACTTAAAAAAAAAAAAGACATATCAAGTAGCTTTAAGGGTGACACTTCTGGGTAAGTATACTGCAATTATACTGGAAAAATCTGAGGATTTTCTTCAAGAAAACAAAGCTTTAAAATGGGGGAGAGGGTGGGAGGGGAAAACACCACTTTGGACACAGGAGCTAATTTTAAATAAATCTGAACAAAAAATTTTTCAAAAATCATTACAAATATTTAATACACTCTCCCTAACAGGCTATAGATTGCCTTGTTGGAAGGAATAAATTATTAATGTTATGATTGCTCTATAAAGTCAATTCTGTAATCAGCTAAGATACTTCTAGATGAAGGTACCAGGGAAAAGCAATCAAGAAAAATGAAAAGAAAAAATAAATAAATAAATAAAAAGCAGGAAGCCGTTAGGAAGAGGGGAGAAAAAAAAAACACATGGATCATTTTACCTAGAAGACACAAAATTACTGCTTCTTTTTGTTCGTAGCAGAAAATGTATGCTGTGCATGATATAAAAAACATAACCAACATACCGTGTGGCAGGGACGGAACTACAAGGCTTACTAAGCAGACTCCAGAGAGACTGGACATTCATGGATTACAGTTCAGTGTATTTCATGCCCACCTTGATGCAAAAAGTAGACATGAAATACACTCATATACTCTGTGTATTAGTATATTTACTCTGCCACATACAATGTATATAGCAGTTTTCTATAAAGGGCAACTGATGTAAGGATCAACTTCCAAAAACACAAAGAGAGTTAGGGCAGTAGAGACAGAGAGAAGAGACACAGACATAGGAGAGAATTCAGCCAGAGAGAGACAAAGAGAGCCCCGAGGGCCTTTGCTCATTGTCCTGGGGAAAATCTGAGATAACGTCTGCATCCTCAGCGCTGAATTTTCCCCTTTACTGGACTTTTATACTCACACGCTGTAATTATCTCATGAGTTTACTCTCTACACACCCCTTAAGTTTCTTTTGTTTTCCATGAAAAGGGCAAAGGTGTGGGTGAGGGGGGAGAGAAATCTTCAGTCCCTTCAGCTCATAGTCAAGTCTTCAAGGAAGTATTGGTGTAGTGGCAAATTTCCAGATGCATCGAGGATCCGATCCAAACTCGTGGTCAGGTGACACTGGGTGTACTGTGTGAGTCTCTTCAAATGGAGCAGGAATTAGCCCGCTTCCGAGGCTTTGGGTCTCGTGCTTCCCGATCTCTCAGACACATACATGACGAGCACATGGTCTCTGACAGTCTTCGGAGACCGAGCCGGAAAACGCTGTTGGAAAGGCTGTAGATCACACAGTTACAGAAACTGTTGCTGATAGCAAGCCAGGTGGTCAGGAAGGACAGTGCAGGGTTGTCCAAGACCCGCGAGCTTTCTAGGAGAAAATAAATGATATAGGGGAGCCAGAGCATGTAAAAAACACTAGTGATTCTAAATAGGACCATGGCGTAGCGACGGTCGGGGCTGTGGCCAGTCTCACCGGAGGCGTCCACCTCGTGGCTGGGGAATCGGGCCCTCCGGTCATTTATCTCTTTGGTGTGCTGCCGGCAGATCTTGAAAATGTGGAAGTAAGTGAAGCAGACCACAAAGGCAGCGGGCGCATAAAGTAAACAAACAATGAAGCCCGTGAAGTAGGCACTGGTGAGCCATGAGGTGGCACACCACTCAAAAACGTCACCATGGTAACCAGGTTTCCCCCAGCCGAAAAAGGCAGGCAAGAAGATGAGGCAGGAGTAGATCCAGATTAAAACAATGCAGATCCTCAGGCGGCAAGGGGTGACCAGTTGGTTGTAGGAGAGGGGCTTGGTGATGGCGAGGTAGCGGTCCACGCTGATGCAAGCAAGACATGCCATGGAAACGCTTTTCAGGACGGAGATGATATATCCGAACACCTGGCAGGTGAGAGACTCGTGGATTCCGGTGGAGTAGTGGAGCAGGGACAGGGTGGGAACCAGGCAGCTGACTCCGACAAAGAGATCGGCGTAGGCCATGGTCTGGATGAAGTAGCTGGTGGTGTAGTGGTGCAGGAGCGGCGCACAGTGGAAGACGAAGATGACCGTCAAATTCCCGGCGATGATCAAAAAAGTCAGCAAGACAATGACGACCGTCTCAAAGATGCAGACGTCCACCGCGCTGTAGTGGCCGAATCCCAGCGGGCAGGCGTGATGCTCGGACACATTCACGGGGCCACTGCTCGTGTTCAGGGGCTTCCATTCGGCCCAGCTGGTGTCGTTCATGGCTTGGGGTGAGGGAGCCTGCAGCCTTGGCTACGGCACACCAGCGGCCTGCCCAGCATCTGTCACGCTGCACACGAGGGTCTCAAGAGGGGCCTCGGGAGGCCGCGGGGACGCGTCTGTCACAGATGAGCATCCCAGAGAGTACTCAAGTCTCTTCATCGCCTCCGTGCAGCCGTGACACAACTCAGCTTTGGGGAGGCGGGGGTGCCATGGGGGGAGGCGAAGGGAGACGGGAAAAGTCAGCTTAGCTTCCTCCAGAGTTCTGAGACAACTTTTTTTTTTTGCAGAGACAAGGCACTTCTAGATAAAATGGATTTTTTACCTTGCACTAGGAAAACTTAAATCTGTAAAAAGAGAAAAAAAATCAATTGCCAAGGGAAGGAAAAGCTCCTGTGGGCTGTGTTTTCTCCTCAGAAAGGAAGTTTCTTAGGAGTCAACTAGAAACAAATGAGAAAAAGAAAATGTCAAATTGTCTCAGGCGTTCCACTTCATCTAGCACGAGACGTGGATTCGCACTCCGGAATTTATAGCATCATAATAGATTGGACTGGAAAGCTAAGGAAAGAGTTCATTGTTCAAGGGCTCATCTTTGGGCTCAGGTAAGGGTTGATGCTGGTGGGGCAACTTTATGATGAATTTCTCTTTCAGATTTAAAAAGCTACAAGCCCTTATCAAGGCGTATTCCCAAAGACTCAATTTTATATGGACACAAAGGAGTAGAAGAGAGGTAACCAAATCACAAAGCCTAACTCTACTGTGAAAGATGCAAGGGGTTAACACCTAATAAAAATAAGACAAACTTTTATTCTGCATGCATTTTTAAGTTACAGTTTTAACTTACAGTCCATGCAAGTTATTGGTTATACTGCCAAAGTAATTTATACCTTTTTGCTTTTTAGAGAAAGATATTTTGACAGAAATGAGACTATCTTTCATTATCTGATATGCCACCTTCCTTATAGTAGTAGATGATTATTCATAGATACAAATCAAGCTTACTTCTCATATTTGTAGCCACACACTTATTTTACATATACATGTAAATTTATGTGATAGAGAACAGAAACTTTCCTACATACTCGGAGCAATTTATTTGACCACAAAGCTGCCAACATTTATTACTTAGGTACTTATAGAGGCTTCATATTCTATGTTTTACTTTTTTCTATTTTCATAATCTAACACATTAAATCATTTCAAAATAAATCTTCCAAACATGAAACATTACCTTGCTTGCTATATTAGCAGTTATGGTATAGCCATATGTTAAGAAAATGCTTCTTCTATTTCTGCAGTCTATTTTGAGCAAGTACTCAATTAATATGGGGGCCATTTGGTAGATTATAAGATGCTCTTGTTTTGAAATACCTCTCAGGAAACATAAGGAGTTTAAATCCTTAGAGTTTGGAACACTGAAAGGCTGGCAAGATAGAATCCATCCCAAAGGCTTCCAAGGTCATTCTGATAGCAGGTTCACATTTGTCAAAAGGTCTTTCTCAAAGCACAAGCATTTCAATGAGCCTCTTGTCAGTCTTTGCTGTCATACCTTTTGGAGAAGTGACATGCGTGTGGAGAAGTGACATGCGTGTGGAAGCAAAGCTTTCCCCTCGGGAACAATGCAGCAGCTTAACAGAAAGCATTCTTCGGAAAGTTACTCATTCTCTGGTGCACCACCAAGTCATTCGGGGAAGTCCCTCTTCGTTTATAACAGCCACAGGATTTTCTTCCTCGGACGCTCCGAGTTCCATTTATCACAGACTAGTTTCTCCTGGTCCAGGAATAGGCGAAGCTTCTCACCTACGTTCCCTCTCATCAGCTGCCTGATTCCGAAGTCCGCCTCACAGTGCTGCAGACACGAGCATGCTGGCGGCATATTCCTCACATTCTCTCAGTCTCACTGCCTCCACCTGAGTCGGAGCCCTGCTGCTGCTCCTCCTTTCCTCCTCCTGGGCTGATGCAGAACTCACCATCAGAAAGGTGACTCGGTCCTCCTGCCCCAATCAACGGCACAGCCAATGGCTACTGCAGCTGAAACTGTCACTAGGTAACAGTTGCCAGGCACAAGCAGGCTTATAGACTTCCTCAGCAGGCTCAGATCAAGAGTGACAAAAGGAGACAATGGAACTGACCGAGCCTCACCACATAGTAATGGCACCTATGAACTTCTACTGATGTGCTCCTTGGACCATTTATAAAGATTCTTTCCAGTGGACAGGATGGGGGGACAAAAAAACCAATGACCGCGATACACCTTTAAGCCCGGTAAAGAAACAACCACCAGATACCCTAACACTAAAAAGTCAGCAGTAATCTAATGCCTCTTGGCAGAAAAAACTTATTAATTATTAAAATCAGCTATGTCTTCATGAACGCAGGCGACAAAGTTATTATTTTTCACTTCCCTAAATTACAGTTATAGCCGTGCACATGCCCTGCACGTGGAGAGCCTGGGTCCATCCCCGGCATCACAAAAGAATCATAGTTAAGTTCTGATCAATAGAACATTAAGTCTTTATTAATCTCTCCAATCACTTTCACACTGAAATCGCTGAATTTTACGTTTTCACTGAACAACAAAATATTGGCACTAATGCCTTCTATAATGAAACCCACCATGATTTTACCATCTATTATAGACTTTATTGAATAGTTAAATATGATCTCAGAAAGGAAGATGATAGAAATAAGTAGAATTGATTGGCTACTCCACTTTTTATTTTGTTGTGACAAAGTCAAAGATACTTGTCATCCAGGGTTTGAGCTACCCATATACAAGTGAGAAGAAAGTAAGTGAGGTGCCTTAATTTCATGGAGGTTAAAAATACTTCCGGGGACTAGGAATAGGCTGCCAAGTAGTGGGGCACAAGCCTGGCATGTTCAAGGTCCCGAGTTCTATCCCTGTCACTACAATGCCCCCTGGGCATCACTGCTATATTCCTGGTGGTCCCAAGGAACCTGAGTGGGGCCCATGCACTGAACCAACAGGCCCACAACACCAGCCAGACCATTTCTGGGAAAGGCCCTATTTAAAAGTTTTTCTGTTTCACTTACTGTAGACAAACATTCACTATGGGATGAGCACTCTTCTTTCTGTTGATGTGAAATGAATTTATAACTTATTTCATAATTAAATCAGAAAGATTAAGATGAAAATAAAATAACATTAGTTGAGCACATTCTATGTACAACGCATTATGCTTTGTGCTTTATGTTTCTTTATGAAATCTTAAAGCTCCTTTGGCACATGTATCATAATTATCATGTTCCAAGAAATGTAGTGGATACTAACAGAGATAAGAATGATTTGTTTTGTTTACTATTACAGTCATGACAAAATCAGATTGTAATTCTTAACACTATATTGATGAAACACTGCTTCTCTCTCGTCCACTGATGGCTGTCAAACAACAAATGTCTCCGAAGAATTACTTTTAATTTCTTAAAAGTGACTGGGGAGTGAATGACTATACCCTATACAATGCGGGAGCATTAGTAGTTCTAGAGATCAAAGCCAGAACTTCTGAATGCGAAACAGGCATAAGCTGTTGAGTCATCTCCCTGGCCCCATAAAAGTGATTTCTTTTTTGAAATAAAATTTTCATTTTGGGGTTTCTTGAGCCACATCTAGGAGTAAGCCCTGAGCACTGCTCGCTCTACACTCAGAGATCAACCCTGGTGAGGTTCAGGGGGACACATGTGGTCCCAGAGATCAAATCAGGACTGACTGTATGCAGGTCCTACCCCTGGACTATCTCTCTGGTCCCAAAAGTGATTGCTAAGGAAAAAAAAAATCCAAGTCTCTCTTCCATGTTGAACTGCCTTTCAGAAGAACCATGTTATTGCTAAACATCTTTGGCAGCTTTGGTGAAATACAGAATGCAAGCATTTTGTATTACTAGAAAAAAATACAAAATAAATTAGAATAATAATCTTGTAAAGCATACTAACAGGTACTCATCAAAATGGGTTTGAAAGTAAATATTTAAATATTTTTACAAAATGCTAGAAAACCCTATTTTACAAGGACGCATTTTAACTTTTAAGCGTGAAATCAAGTAAGGCTAGATTTAATGTTTTCTTTTTAGTATATATTAAATACTCTCGGAGTATATATTAAATACTCTCAGAGAGCCCGGCAAGCTACCGAGAGTATCGTGCCCACAAGGCAAAGCCTGGCAAGCTACCCGTGACGTATTCAATATGCCAAAAACAGTAACAAGTCTTACAATGGAGACTACTGGTGCCCGCTCGAGCAAATCGATGAACGGGAGGACAGTGCTATACAGTGCTATATATTAAATATTCAAATTAAATGTTGCATTCAATAAAAACATTCCTGGTTACAGGTTTCATATTCTGTATTTAAAAACAGTTAAGTACTAAGCTTTCCTACAGAACTACTAAAAAGAAATATGGCCTGAGTACTCAAAATTACCTCAATTGATCCAGATCTTTCTTTTGAGGGGAGGGCGGCTGTGCTGAAATTTAGACCCCAGCCTCACACAGGCAAAGGCTCCACCCCCTGATCCCAAGCCCTAAGGCAAAGATCCAAACAAATCATTTGAAGTACTTAAATTGTAATATTCCTAAATACCAGGGGAAGAAAATTTCATCTAGGGAAATTCAAATAATTTATCACTTTAGTTTCATACATTCATTTCCAGAAAATAATCACTGGCAGAGAATCTAAGATTACTGTAAAATTCCATATCTAAGAATACTGTAAAATTGCACATGCTTTCAAAGGTATGATAATAAGACTGGATTTAAGAAGCAGTCTTTGACAGAACAAGTTTCTTTCCTTCTACAACTTAAAACAAAAAGTTCCAGTAGTTTTAGATAATTTCCTTCTCATCAGCCCTTTATTTTTATTTTTTTCTAATTTTTCCTGAGGTGCTTACAACAGGAACAAATTTATAATGTGAAGCTGTCATAACAAAGGAACATTAATATCACACATCTACATGGTTCATTAGATTAAGCACTGTGATTTTATAATAGGTAT